GACGAACCTAGGGCTAGAAAATACGAAAGAAATTCTCATCTCCTCCATTCTTCTTCCTCTTCATCGTTTTTCTGCTTCTCTCCATCATTCTTCTCCATTTTTCTTCTTCTTCTTTTTCTTAGATTAAGCTTGTAATTCAAATTCAACACTTGGAATTGCAATTTATTGTAAGTTCTTCTCTTTATCTTTAATTCATGAATTATGGTTGAATTCAAAGAGATGATTGATATTGTTGAATTGATTTTACGTAGCTAATTCTTATTGCTAGGGATAGGGAATGATTATTCTTGTTTAATTTGTATCTCTCGGGCTTGAATTGTTCATTCTTGTGTGGGTTAATTTGATTAGGAATTGAGTAAATTGTGCTTGATTGTTTGATGTAATCGAAGGGTGACACTTCGATCTTGCAGTTGGTAACAATTGGATATTGAGTTGTCGAGTTTGGTTTTATTGATTCCAATGATTAGTTGATTAATACCCTTCTAATTGAATTAGCGACTTGTAGAACCGAAAGGGGAAAAGTCGTAGACCTAGGCTCACATGAGGTAGACGATGTCATAATTGACTAATCTACGTGTTTTAGATTGAAATACGCACTTGTCGATGACCCGTCCCTTGTTACGAAAAGTTATTGTGATTAGGATAATTGGCCTGTGTTGTATGCTCGAACTTGTTCGTCTATGTTCAATCCCTTGTTACGAAGAGTTATTGGGAGCGAACCGCTAGATGTCTAAGCGAGAGTGTCAATCTCGAACCGAACAATGAATTGCCTGGTCTTGCTACAACTTGAATTAATTATCCCCGACTCCCTAGTTTCTCCATCTTTATTTCGTTTATATTTTTAGGTAGATTGTTGCTCTATTTTATTTCTTGGTTAATAAATATTCAATCCCTTCTTTGATTAGTATGTTTAGGATTTATTTTGCTTTTATGTGCTATCAATACCAAAGCTGAATTCCGAACCGCCTTCCTCGTGAGATCGACCCGGGGGACGAATCTTCCAATTCATTACTCGGTAAAAATAATAATAATTTGTACACAACAATAATAAATATTAATATTTATTAAAATTCATTAGAAAAATAAAATTATTTCTCAATTGATATACTTATGTTCAATGTAGTTATATGTCGTAGTTAAATAAATTATTATAATATAACAAATGTAAATCGCACAAATAAAATAGTGTCATAGTAAATATATAATTAATATATACCTTTTTATAAAAGGTATTGAAATTTTCAATTACTTTTGCTCATTAATCTTAGATTTTTAAGAAAAAATTAGCAGAGCACCCGTGTAACACACGGGCGTTGTACTAGTTATTATTATTTCCAAATCACACTTTACAAATTAGCCATTAAAGTTTGGTAGAGCTTGTAATGGATCATCACAATAAGAAAGATCATAAAATGAAAACAAGTAAACAACTATTCAA